TGTTTGATTCTCTATTGTTTCTGTCTTGCTGGGATTTACTACCATGCATATGCTACAGCTTTTCACATATATCTGTTTCAGATTGTCTCTGCAGATGAAGTTGTCCCAGCCAAAACAAGAGTATGCACCAAGGTTTTACAAGTTGAAGATCCCGAGAGGTCTGAGTTCAATCCAACTGTGTTAACTATTCTGGAGGTTCTTAAATGGAGCTCTGGAGGTCTTTAGATCTGATAAAATAGAAACTGCCGCTGTACCTGTACCAGTCAACTGTGATTAAAAATACTTATGTGAACCTCCACCCATCTTTGTTACCTGGTATCATGGGTTTTGCTCTTCAATATACAGGAATGTGTTTCAAGTCAATTTTTCTTCACTGTCCTACACTTTCCAGATCCCATCTTCTCCATTTCTCTTTAAGTAGAGGTCTAGCCAGTACACATTACTAATAGCAAACTGTACATGAATCTGGTTAATCAGTGTATTTGATACTGCCAGAGAGCAGACTACGAGTCTGTTTTCAGATGGTCTAGGTATGATCCAAATCAGAGAGACCAGTTTCTTTCATGAGGACTACCTGAGCTGTGGGAAGACACTCACATCTCACTAATCTGTTGTGTTCATGGGTGGGTATATATCATAGCTAGAGAGGATGTACCCAGAGTACATCCCTGATTTTTCTTGCTCTAGGAAGCCAAGTCCCAGAGGTGATAGCCATTTTATTTGGAAGGATTAATGTCCATATTTATAAAGACTTCTAAGTCACTTAATTAGAAGTTCTTTTCCATCTGTACATTTTCTATATGTTCCATGCTAACACTCATGAAATCTCTTGTGGTACAAATTGTGCAAAAGTTTATGTATTAGTAACTTCCTTTAGGGTTTTAACCCTTTTAGGGTTACCATTCATGTTGTTTTCCCTGCAAATTAGGGGAATGTACCTAACATATTTTTTAATTTATTTTTTGGTATTTTAAAATACCAAATCCCTTTACATTAACCATTTTGTGATATCCAAAGCGTACATATAATTCATTCTAGCAGAGCAGTCAAAAAACGGGCTGCATCAGCCTTTTAACATTTGTTACATGAGCATTACTTCATTCTAGTGTTTCTCTTCAGGAGGTTTTTTTTTCCCTAATATATAAAGAAGTGGTTGCTCATGAAAAAAGCGGTCTGGATAAAGAAGTTAGCAATTTGCAAAGGAAACCCTAAAAACATAGCCTACGCTTTGGGACTTCATCTTCTACATGGTGGTTGGGTTAAATATCTCATGTTTTGTAGATCTGCTTAATTTTGTATGCCTACAAAGGTCTCAAAAGTTGTTTTCCTACCTCATGCAGGGAAAATAAAAGCTATTCAAGGGCATTCCCCCTCTTCCAAGTAGGCTAATGAAGAGTTTGTACAAAGTCCAAAGCTAGGGTTTTCCAGGCAAAAATGTAGGAAGTAATTTAGTATTGGCTATATATAAATGCTTTATTTCCAACCTGAATGCAAAGTCTGTTTTGCCACCTAATTGATCTAATCCAAGCTGTTAGGGCATAGCACAATCTCAGCACTGAAAACTGCTGTAGCTCTCTCGAAATGTTGCCTCATTCCCACTGCAGCAGAATGAACATCCTTTAACTCAGGAAAATTTAACTGTGAGGAAGAACATCTATTCTAGTACCTCTACAAACTTTTACTCTACCTTTTTCTTCGCCCTAGTTTCAGGAAGTAGAGGTAACTTTGTTGAGCAGTGCCAGAAAGCTTAAGAAAAGTAACAAGAAAGTCACTGAAACTAGATTTTCTTAAGATGTTGTAGATACACGTAGTATGCCTGGGCAGGGATTCAAGAGTAAATTGGATGCACAGATGATTTCTAACTCAGGAACAACACACATATGTGCAATGTCTGCAGTTTAGAGACACCTACATTTGACTTGTGAACATTCTCAAACCTATACCTCCACAAAGAAATCCTCACCGGCTGCAATGCCTTTAAGAGTTTATACATAAAAACAGCCACACTGCACTCTGCACCAGTTGTGCTTTCTATGTGTATAAATGAGCTTCACCTTTGTTTTCTGTTAATTTTTGGACCTCCTGAGATGCAAGCATGCATCTGAAAAATGATAACTCTATTCTGAACTGGTGCAGTCACAGACCTGCAGTGATAGTGTGTGAGCATTAGCAGTCACCACTGTTTGGCTTTCAAGAACCCCTCCTTTGGTCATCATGACATCCACAAAAAAATTTCTCCTTTTAGTCCTTGATATCTCATAATTTGCAAGTAACCCAGAGTGAAGGCAGATTGCTAATTAGGTGCCAAGACTAATTTTCTTACTTTAAAATGCCAAGTTTGGACTCTGCCTAGGATAAAAGAAACAGAGGAGAAACAGTGCAGGAAATGGTGATGCTTCCTAAGACCCCTGCACTCCCCATCTCCCTCCTCGTTTCCCTCGCTGCTTGCCTGCAGCTCGGCTCCTTGTGCCACGTCAGCCACAGAGCGACAAAATAAGGCGATGAGGGTAAAAATGAGCCTTGCAGATTGAGCAGAGAGGGGGTGCAGGGGCAGGGTGAAGGACAGGGGAGGTTGTTGGAGCCGTTGGGGGTGACAGTTGGGCAGCTGTGGGAGCGTCCCCAGGTGAGCGGCTGCTCCAGGACAGGGACACGGCGGGCAGGGGGCTGGGGCTGCCTGTCTGCTCCTGGGTGGGCACCCAAGCCAGGGGTGAGTGGCACCCAAGCCGCTGTGAGATGGTGTGCTTGTCACGGAGAGTGTGTGCCAAACCACTGGGTGCACGAGCACCTGGGTGCTCTTCCTGGTTACGGCACCCTGCATAGACCACTGTCGTCCCTGAACTGGAGCGTGTGTGTGTGAGCGCATTTTCTCACTTGTATACGTTTCTCTGTGTGTGTGTGAGTGTGTGTGTGCATCCAGGAAGGGGTCTTACACCTGCATGAGTGATGGCTCACCCAGGTCGGCTCGTGGAGACAGCCTGCACAGAGGAGTGTCCACCTGCATAGTGGAGGTGTGTGCTGGCACCTTTGGGTGCCTGCAGAAGGATGAGTCCTTGCATGCACTTGTGAGAGCATACAGGCATGCATGCATGTGCAAGCTGCAGGGTACCTCAATGAAGTGTTTTCCATGCGTGATTTTTTTATTTAATCCCATTTCATAGAATTCAAGGGTAGCAAGCAGATGGTCCATCAAACTGCTATCTAGGAACACACAAGGATCCCCTGTCATACACAAGAACTTATGCACAGGGAACTATATGTCTGTATACATGTACCTACGCACAGGTGCATGTTAAAATGTCACAAGCTCTTGAGTATCTTCATACACAGATCTTCAATGTATGTGAGGGTTTGTGCTAAGATATAGAATGTCTGTCCACAAAGACTGTGCATATTTGAACGTCAGTTTGACACTGTATCTGGGTGTGCATTTTATATCTGACTAGTTCAAGGAAGCAGTTTTGGTTGTAAAATGTGTAGTAACAGGTGTAGCATTTGCACATCCATGATAGCAAAATGCCTTGCATCAAGGCTAGAGAAGTATCTTGTCCATATCGTAGATGATGGAGAAAACGTGCTGGCCTGTCCAGGTTTTATCAGTATAATACTGACTGTGTTACTGAGAGAATGTTACCTGAAAATTATATTTAAAAGTGCAGATGTCACGTGTAGTTTCACATGTCCATCTCACACAGCCAATATTCTAGATTAACATGTATATCTCTGCATTTGCATGCAGCAGCAAGTGTCTGTTCTGCAGTGCTTTTGTTTGCCCTCTGAGCCTGTATGACTGCATATTTTTGAGTTGTGGAGCATGTGTAGGACCACTGGGATGTGTAGGCCATTATCATGTGTGTGGTTTATGTTTTGCAGATCTGGCCTTGCAACACTTTGATTGTCATTGCTCAGTGATAGAAGGTAACAATGAAAGACATGCTGTTTTGCTGAAGATTTCCTACTAATATGCCATATTTTCATCTGTCAGTTTTCTCTAGATTCAATAGTAGTATCATCTCCTCAGTGTCTTTAAAAGACAGAAATTAATGCCATGTTCTGTCTCACTAGCCAGTTTAAGAGATTTGAAGAAAGCCTGCATTTACAATTTTATTTCTTAACAATATTTTTAGATTAGGGTTTAGATAAGAGCTCTCACACTGACCACTATGCCTCAGTCTGTGATCTGAAGGGAGAAGCTTTGGTGGGAATATTGGGATAGTTCAAACTCTGGACATATTTGCTTGTTGACTTGTCAGATAACAGTGCCAGCAGAGGTCACACTCATAGTGGCACTTTCATTTTACCCAAGATGAAGACCTCCATCTTAACCACAAACTTTGGAAACTCTGGCTCCTGATGCAGTGATAGTCAAGATTCATTTGAAAACTGAAGTCAAACTTAATCCATATATGTCTCTTAACTGAAATCATTGTTCTACCCAGTTCACAGTTAATTATATATTAAAAAAAAAAAAAAAAAGAAGGACATTATTTATTAATGACAAAATAATGAATGTATCAGGATTTATTTTGGGAGATTAGTTATGGGGCACAAGCATGTCATTGTTTTTCATGTATCCCAGCAGATGGAAAGGTTGATTTGATGTTATTAGAGTGGAAGCTCTTTAATCAATATTTTTCTGAAATGGTCCAGTATTACAGCAGCTGTCATCCCATCAAGGTCCCTGTAGCTATTCTAAAGAATTATAAGCTTGAAAATTGTTGAGGCCAAAAGTTTTGAACACCCTAGGAAATTAAGAAGGTAAATTTTGTTCTGTTTCCTGTACTATGTGGGCTTTCCAAACTAGCTGTATATTGCTCCACATAATTCCCACATGGGGCATTAACTGCCATTGTTGTAGGCGCTTCAGTTGAGTTAATTTTAAGGAAATCAGAAGGCAGTGATGTTCTGAAAACCATATAAATCAGTTCTGCATGTCACACAGATTTGTAAAAAACTGTTAAATGTGCTTCATATTTTAATGTGTTTACTATAATCACAGGGAAATGGCAAGCAAGAAGAAAGAAGTCCCACTCCAGGTATAAATCTTAAGTACTTGAACTATTTGAGAGAGGAAGGGATGTTTTTTCTCTATTTTAAGATGTTAAAATGTCAGTTGATTTTATTTCAGATCATAATAACCAATCAAGACCAGTGGGATGAAATGCTGCAGACAAATGGTATAGTAGGTACTAACAGTTGCTATTTTCTGTTTAATCTCTCATGAAAATGCAGTTTTTCATACTTATATATAATCCTTAATAGATAATCATAACGAACCTAGATGACTAGTGCCATATTATCTTTTAAAGAAAGGCTATATGAACACATATTTATAAATGTATACCAAAGAATCATTTCCAGCATGATATTGTCTATGGTAGGGGGCTGCACACCTCTGTGGAAGTTTTTCCCTAAAATTTTGCACAGACTACACTAAATTTATACTGCAGCATTCTTGAGAGTGCATGTTGTCTTATGTGTATTATTCCCAGTTTTCAGTTAAGTTAGTCCAAAAACTAGGTCTCTTAGGAATTGCCTTTGGGTAGAAGGAACAAATGTGTAATGAAATCATATCTACAGAGGGTTAGTTACAGGAAAGAAATGATCTGCACAGGTCAGGGAGGTAAAAATCTTGTAGGAAAAAGGCCTAGATAAGAATGAAAAGCAACAGCGAGAAAATAAAAAGAGCAACTAAAAGGAAAAGGAATATGAGAGAAAAGAAGTTGCTCAAATTAATAAACTCAAATAGTCTCAAAAGTAGGTTTCCTATGTCAAAAGTAACTGAAATTAAAGAGGAAATCCTAATATATCCACTGAATACATTGATTTATTTATGATTGAATAATAACTCATGATTATTCACATTGACTAGAAGAGGACTGAAAGATACATGAGAATGCCTTCCCAGCTCTGTTCCAACCCCAACGTAAATGTGTCTCATTTTATAACTTCATTTTATAAGTCAGCTGTTAGTAATTCCAAACTACTACATTTCAGTAATAGATGTGTATCAAGCTTGGTGTGGTCCTTGCAAAGCTGTGCTGAATGTACTGAGAAAACTGAAGAATGATTTTAGTGAAGACAATGTGTTATACTTTGCCGTGGTAAGGACGTAGATTCTGTGTGGGACTTTATTAACATTTTAATTTGAATATATCTTCTTATCTGCATATACAGAGCTTTCATTTTACTGTCCTTATGCTGAGTTGTGATAATTTTGGCCTGCTTGTCTCTTCTTCTGCATATCCCCTCATATGACTTTGTTTAGAAGTAGATTAAAAACTGGAAACAAATATGTAAGAATCTATAATAAAAATGGGGCTGATATGCCAAAACTTTTGTTTTTCTTGATGAGATTGCAGAAATATTCAAAAGCCAGCCTATATGATTTTTAGTTTTAAGTCTCTACATTATGGACTATCACATTTAAAATTTGTGCATCTCTGAAAAACTGCATTTTTTTATGTTAAATATTCCCTTGTATTTCATTTTTAAGAGAACAAAAAAGGGGAAAATTAAAAATAAATTATCACAGAACTGTAGTAGTAAAAATACCTGTTTACACTAGTAGTATATATATACTTCTTCCTTTATATACATTATTATAACCTACAGGAGAAAATACTATCAAGAGAAGATACTATTTCATGCTTGATTGCTGTAATACATTGGGAGGACAATCCCATGTTGCCAAAACAGTTCCTTCTTCATCACCATAAGGACTGTTACTTGTACTTACGACTGCAGTTTGAGTTTGTAACACTTAAGTATGTAGGAGAGTGGGTTTTTTTACAGGAAAAAAGGTTTACATCTATCTATCTCCATATGTATATATACATATACATATGCATATACACTTTGAAAGCAAATAATCTTTTTTGTCTGACTTCAGGCAGAGGCTGACAACATTGAAACTCTGAAACCATTTAGAAATAACTGTGAACCTGTGTTTCTTTTTTGTGTTGTAAGTACATCACATCAGTTTCTTTTAATGTGCTGCCTACTTTTGCCTTAACTTTTCAAGATTTTAAAATAGATGCGAAGCAGTATAAATTCTCTATTTAAATTTTGCAGTATGTAGAACGGTATCATCAGATGTTGTTTACTTGAGCTGTCTCCCATTCCTAAATCTGGTGGCTCTCGAGCACATTTTTGTTGTGGCTGTTGCAAATACAGCCACAGAAGAGCTATGTTTTGGTAGTTACGTAGTGAGAAATCCATGTAAGTTTTCCAGGTTTGCCTCACATAAAGTGCCTACATGTGGTTACACTGGAAATTATTATTTTATGCACATTTTCCATCAGGGATATAGAGTTTAAAATTCCTGTTGCTATAAGGTTTTTAAGATAACAAATAAAAACATGTTTGCCACACTTCAGGAACTGTAGCAAATAATCATATATTTATTATTTCTCACTGATGGACACAGAGAGGTTGTTCTCCTAGGACACCACCATGGAACACTGCTCACTTAGGAAGTGGTGGGGTTTTTTCACTTGAGGGTGCCAGGATTTGAATCCCCATAACTAGGGACCACAAACAATGATATATTCAGGACACTTTCAGGTTTGAATCTGAATGTTGCCTAGAGAAGTTAGTAGTATCTTTGGTCACCATTAGTTAGCTTCGTTATGGTGCACCTAAACATGGCAGAACATGCCCTGGAATGCAATGCAATGTAATGTGAAAAAAAAACCAACAAAACAAAACAAAACAAACAAACAAAAAAAAACCCACCCAAACAAAACAAAAAAAAACACACACAAAAAAACCCACAAAAAAACCAAACAAACCAGGAAAAAAAAAAAGAAAGAGAATACAGAAAACTCCATGTTATAGAAATTAAAAGCTAGTAGAATCCATATTTGCATTTCCTTCCAACTGTACTGTTAATGGTGAGCCTGGAAAAAAACATGGAAAATTAGGTAGAGGAGGAAGTAAGGAATTAAAAGCAGGTTCATTCTGAACTAATAGAGACTAGTTTTGATATTCCTTCATGGGTATAGGAAGTGGTCTTGTAGCTGGAATAATTAACAAGATATAACATGTTTCAAAAGCTGAAGTAAATGTGTAAACTAAGTGATGAAAACTCACTGAAAGTGTTATTTTCTCTTTTACAGTATGGTAAAATTATTGATATAGTGAGAGGTGTGAATGCTCCTCTTATAATTAAGAAAGTAACAAATCTAGTGGAAGAAGAGAGGCAAATTGCAGCTGGAGAGAAGGAACGCACTGAGGTACTCACAAACCAGATAATTAAAAATAAATGTATATTTTTATTATACTTACTCTGTTTCTCTCAACGTCTGTAATAGTGTTTTAGGTAATGTTTATTTTTTTGTATTTTCGTGTTAACAGTAAAGTGATATATGTGACAGGCTTTTTTCGCAGAAATTTCGTAGAATTATCTGGGTTCCAAGAGACTCTTAAAGATCACAGGCAGTGACATCTTTCACTAGATCAGGTTGTTCAAAGCTGTGGGGATTGCTCCGTACTTAAAGAATCCAGTTTACTACAAAAGCCAAAGGATTTTCAACAACTTTATTCCATCACCTTTCACTCCTGACTTCCAGATAACATGAGGACATTAGGACAGTTTAGTCTGACTTCAATAGCCTACACTGCAAACAATTCTACAGTTGGAATTTATAGTAGTAGCAGTATTAATCCTCCCTTTCTGGATATTTTCTCCAGAAAAAACAAATGTCCATTATGGTTCTTTATAAAAACTTAAGAAATTTACAGACTAATGCAAGAAATTGAGAAATGGACAAAATGTCACTAGCACATAAAGGTTTTAGTAATCTTTTTTTCTTTCAGGGCTAAGTATTTTTAATATATAACTAGTAGCTGCATCATATGAAACAAAGACATGAGAAATAGTTATGTCTCATTGTTTGTTTTAAGTGAAAAAGATCAAAGAACTCCACGTACAGTAAGAAGAGACTCTTAACAAACGGCAGCTCAAGGAAAATCAGACTGACCCAAGGTCTTTCTTAGACTTGCTTGTTTTCCAGGGTAGAAAATCCTTTCTTAAATTAAGACAGAAGTGTTGTAAAGATCTGACAGATGTGTCTGGTGACTTTACCTTTTACTGGTGGTGTACTTTCACTTTATTTCCAATTACCTCAGGTAGATGAACTTGTTTTTCTAGAAGAAAAGTCATCAGAAGAGACTATTGAGGAGACTGCAGATGAGGGTAAATATATTTGATTTATTTTAGAAATGTTAACAGGAAGAAAGAGAACAAATGTCTTTTGATTAAGAATTGTCTGTGTCAAGCACTAATAGACCTTCCTTTGGTTGAGTTAATAATATTAGATGCTATGTTTGGACCTTCTTCTGTAGGGCAATTAATACATTGGACTGTCATCATTAGTATTTTCACCCCCACACTGGGAACCTTCAGACTTTAGACAGAAGCAACACATGCCAGAGAACTTTTCTGTGTAAAATTAGGGTCTGAAAGTCACTTCTACACAGTCCCTGTGTTGGCTATGTACTTTTGTTGAGGTGGAGTACTAAGGTGAGGGCAACCTGAGAGGACTGAAAGAGTTAATCTGTCAATCAGTGGCAGGCCTTGTGTCTCAAATTATTTTAATTAACTGTTTCGCCAGACTAGATTTAAGAACAGACTTATGTAAGAGCATAAATGCACATTATAGCACAATAAGCTTCCAAAACAATTGAAAAACAAGTACCATCCTGTTTGAGAGTCCCCTGTCTGTGATTTATCTCAGGCTTGTCGTGAACTGAGACTTTAAACTTTTCTATTTTTATTGTTATCTGTGGCTACTGAATATTCCTACTCCTTCATATATGCACAGAATGCCATTATTCAATGTTGAGATGGAGTAAACCCCTCCCTCATCTCCTTCTTGACCTTGTTTTATTTTTTTTCCTGTGAGAAGGCATTAGATCACAGACATGGATTAAGATGTGTCCCTTCTTGTTCCTCTCCATGCCTTCTTTATTGTATGGTTCAAGTGACTTATGCCTGACCTTTTCAAGGATCTGTATGCTATGGATGTTGCAACAGTGTGCCCGTACTGTTACAGCAAGGAACATCTTGTTTTAAACATTAGATTGTGATAGCAAGCATGTGTGACCAACACTTATGAATTACAAATAACTTTAGCATTTACAATGCTAAAGAATCAAACATCTTCTATGACGAGAACTGCGTATTTTACAGGGAATCTCCAATATTTGTACAGATTTTCACTTAGTGAATTTTCCTTAGTAATAATAATGCCTTTCCCATTTCTACTCGTGTACATACAGAACTCCCTAGACAAAGTCTTCATCTTAAGCTGAAATTTTTTCACTATAGCTACCTGCATGTGAACCATTTCTCCCCAGTATTAACCCCCAAAAATGTGGTTCATCAGGAATGTGTATTTCAGGGATAGCCAAGGGTGGTCCTGCACTCCACGACATGCTTGAAGTGCTGGAGTCAATTTTTGGAACATCTGTTTATCCATCTCAATATTAAAATGGAGAATTATTTAGAGAAACTCACTTGTAAGAAATGAAGCATTTAGTTGTGTATTTATTTTGATTAATGTATTAATTAACACATTATTTTTTTCCCTTTTCTAGAAGAAATTCTCAGATATTCTGTTGGAATTATAAAACCTAGTGATGTCTTAGCGGGACGTGTAGAAGAAATTAAACAAAAGGTGGACAGAATTTTAAAATATTAATTCATCCTATTTATTTAAGAGGCATAGTAGCAAGATGTAAGACTAAGTAGATCCTAATTTATACCCAGGCTTTAGAACAAGATCTGTTAATGCTTCTCTGGTAAGGATGATAAAAGCACAATAATTTTGACCTGAAATAATATGGTATTCAGATTTATACTATTGTTCTAATATTTTATACCAGTAGATGAGGTAAATCAAGATTCACACTGATTCTGTTACCAAAAAACATGCCTTATAACACTGTATATCAAGATAAACTCAAGATAAACAGATTTTTAAAAGTTTTGTGACAGGGACAGTGACTTTTGCAGGAAAGGAAATCAGAGTGCTATATAGGTTGTTTCGGCAATTACTCTACCGTGGCCAGAAAGGAAGGTCAGAAAAACCCCAAAAAACAAAAAAACCCATACACCAAACAAACAAACAAACAAACAAACAAAACCAGACAGTGTTTGAAAATGATTTAGCTTGCTACTTGGCTTATGAGGTGTGTACCTACACTGTTTCCAGAGTCAACCCTATTGAGGCAGTCTGGAAACACTCTGCAGCACCATTGGGGTTTTTAAAGAGCAGAGTGCTGGTAAGCAGATTAATATTAGCATATGATCAGTATTGGGGCTGGACAGTGCCTTTGTTATGAAAATACCAGTATATGGTATAAAACTCATACCAGTGGACTATGAATTTTGATGCAGGTCATATAAGCATATATCACTTACATATACTTGAATTTAGTGCAGTAATGTAACTTAAAAGAGAAAACAGTAAAATAGATTCAATTTTTCTTTATTTGCTGCTTTTGAAGCTAAGTAGTTTAGCCTGATACAAATTGTCCACAAGTGCACATTTATAAGACTACCCCGATTATAATACAGTTTATAATAACATTTTTAGAAGTACTTGCATATTAGCCGGTCACAGTGGGCAAAAGGAGTTTATTCAATGTGAGATAAAAGGGATTAATAACCACTGAATGAATGTACTCCATACATTGAACTGCACTATATTTTTCACAAACATTAATTTAGGAATATTGTAATGCTGAATTTAGTGAAGTGTTTTGAAAGGCGGGAAGTTCAGTTTAGGCAAAGATAGCTGCTATATTTTGAATATATTTTGACTTTCAGGGAATTTTAAATTTAAGATAATTTTCAATCTTTAGATTTACAATATATATATACAATATATACCCATTTTCAAATGCCACTGAGTAATAACTGAATAATTGCAGATTAAAGAAGCAGGATTTGACATCAAAGCAGCAGAGGAGAAAGTGCTAACTGAAGAGCAAATCAGAGTGTTCTATGCCCGGAATAAAGAACAGGTAAAAACAAACTAGAAACTTAAACGAAAGGAACAGGTAAAACATATCCCTGTAACTAGATGTGGTTGCAAATCTCTGTACTGTAATTTTTTAGTATGTCAAAGAACTGAATTAATGTAGATTTAGTTCACAAAAAAAGATATATTCTCACTCTATTTTTCGTACTGACTCATACAAATATCACAAGGTAGCATTCAATATTCCAACTAAATTAAACTGAACTCTGATTAAATACTAAAGAGATTTTGTACTTCTTCCTATTATCTGAATGCATATGACCCTTAGACATGATACTAAACTCATAACACTATATATCAAGATAAAATTATACTAATTTTAAAATCTGTTATAACAGAGACAGTGAGCTTTGCAGGAAAGAAAACTGAAGTGCTGTATAGGTTGTTTCTGCAATTACTCTACCTTGGTTGTTAGGTGCTGAAATGTGGCATAAACCCAAAATCCAGTGTAATCTATATAACAGTATGTATCTATCAGACTGATATTCTTCCAACCAGAAAATAAGTCAAGTTATATACTGTGCTATTTATTTCTTTACAGCTTTTAATCATGGGGTAGTACTGGCAATAGGCACGTGCATAGGCAGACAGGGAAAGTATGTAAGTTGAAATCTATTTTTCTGTCCCTGTGCTATATTAGGGGAAAACAATAGCTAAGGACAGACATAAAGTTCAATAAAAGAACTTTGAAATTAATGGTTGGCTACCATTAAATGGCAGTGATCTTGCACACTAGTACCTGGATATTGTCATATTCTTTGACAGTATGATAGCTAAAATTAAGTCTACAGAATCATAAAAATGAAGTTGTTTAGCAAATATTTATACCTTCTCCTATTAAAGATGTGTGTAAGATAGAGGTTGGAATTATATGTAGACAAACAGTTTGTTTGATATTATTAGAGAAACCAGTGGAAGGGATCAGTGAAAGGGTTGGCATAATCAAAAGAAGAAGCTGGGAAAGTGTTCCCGTGGAATTCGAAATGAAGGAGAGTAAGATAAGGTGGTTCCTACCAGAGTCAGAGAGAAAAAAGAAAATCGATTGAAATCACCAGAGACCTCCACTATGATTTAGAAAGGAAGTAACAGGGAGACCTTGAAAGAATCATGAAGGGCTTGGTTTTAGCAAAGCTGAGATTCTAGGTTAGAAGGAGACAGTTTTGAAATAGAGGCAAGAGTAAGTCATCTTCATGGGCCCACTTCTTTACCCTGTCTAAGTCCCTCTGGATGGTATCCCATCCTTCAGGTGGGTCAACTGCACCACTCAGCTTGGTGTTGTCTGCAAATTTGCTGAGAGTGCACTCAATCTGCTCATCTACATCATTAATGAAGATATTAAATAACACTGGTCCGAGTAGGAACCCCTGAGGGACACGAGTGGTCACTGATGTCCATCAGGACTCTGGGTCATTGACCACTATCCTCTGACCAACCAACCACTTTCTAATGCATCTAACAGTCCACCCATTGTATCCATCTCACTCTAACTCAGAGAGAAAGATATTGTGGGGGACCACATCAAAGGCTTTACAGAAGTCCAGACAAACAACATCTATAACCCTTCCCTTGTCCACTGACACAGTTACTTCACTGTAGAAGGCCACTAGTCTGGTCAGGCAAGAATTGCCCTTGGTGAAGCCATGCTGGCTGTCTCAAATCACCTCCCTGTCCTCCACGTGAAATAGCACTTTAGGAGGAGCTGTTCCATGATCTTCCCCAGCACAGAGGTGATATTGACAGGGCAGTAGTTCCCAGGGTCCTCCTTTCTACCTTTTTTTTAAAAATAGGTATTATGTTTCCCTTTTTCCAGTTACATGGCACTTCACCTGCTGCCATGACTTTTCAAATATCACGGAGAGTGGAAAATGGCACTACTATACCACAGTAGATCCTAGACAACATTAGGACAGGGAAAATAATAAAACTGCTATGAACTATAAGAAGTGGTTCAAGAGAGCCCTATGCGTATTGAGAGACCAATTATTTGACATTCTTTAAGTTTAATTCTAAGCTGAAAAAATAATTATGTCAAAGTGACAATACAGGATATAGATTCCTTTGTGAAGAGTGGGCAAAATTATTACTGATTTAATACTCTGCAAGCTTACAGAAGTTTCAGAGTCTGCCTATTATAACAGAATGGCGATTCAAGGCAATATCCCTTCAGATGAAACTGGAAGCAAAAACTGTTTGTTTATAATGATGAAGCTGAGTGATCCAGGACAGTAAAATCTCAGTGTTATATCTAGTTCTTCTACATGAGTGAGTGTACTTTTGAAGCCACTTCAATATAAATACTCCCCTTATGCATCATACCTAACATTTTTGCACTAGCATTCATTCTGTTTCTTTTGAGTTCAAGGCTTATGGTGTGACTCTGCTCCTGTGGAGGGTGAGGAGTTGGACTCAGTGATCCTTGTGGGTCACCTCCCACTCAGCATATTCTGTGATTCTGTGCTTTTGTGACCTTGAGAAATGGGTTAAGCACGTGCACAGAAATGAAGATAATTGAAAGAGAAAAGCAATGAATTTAAAGCATACATGTGAATATTTCATCCTTGTATTATTTAAGGAAAAATGTATCATACACTATGATGGGTGACTGGTAAAGAAAAGATTTTGGAAAATATTTAAAAGGAGAATAGATATCCACAATGTTGAAGGAAAAGGTGACATACAAGAAAAAAAAAGATTAAAAACTCACAACAGCTTCACAAGCTATTTTTCTGATTAAAGTGTACACTTACAGGATTGAAGGTTGAAACTGAAGGAGTGAAAAGAACATAGCAAAATGATTTAAGGGAAAGCCTACAAATATCTCAGTGTTCTATATTTATAGTCAGCTACATGATTTTTAGCTTCAAAACTTATTTATGGAACTGTACTGCAGTTTGCTATGTCACACTACATACTGTACAGCAAGCATACCACGTGATAATATCAAGTTTCTAGATAATTTTCTTCACTCCTTACATGTGCATTTTAACCTGTGACAACATACTACTTGCCTAATCTCAATTAATTTTGTTTTAGAGATTTGATAATGTTGTCTCAAATGATTGATCAAAAAACTTTGCAAAAAATCTAACAGGGTGCTGAGTAATCTATATGTGTGTCAGTGTTGAATAGGAATTTATGAGTACTTTGAAAGAATTATTGTCTCATTTCTGATGATAAACTCAGAGTTCCTGCAATTCATGATGGAAAATTATGTTTTTTAGCCTGACTTTGAGGAGTTTGTTCAATTCATGATGAGTGGACCATGCCATGTTTTGGTATTCACTAGAAAAGAAGACACTGATGCTATTCCTCATTGGAAAGAACTACATGGAGCACATGACTCTGAGCCTGAGAAGCCAGAGAGGTAACTAGCAGTGAAAATGTGTGTATGTGATTCAGTTACAGTGTCCAGAGCACACCACAAACCAAGGCATGTTCTTACAGATGCAGACGTGCCCATGTGCGCAGGGTCCAGGGAGTAGGCAGAGTTCTTCACCTGGCCCTTCACAAGACCACCACTAGAGATGCAATTGCAGAAACTCCATGATTCCTAGTTAAAGAGGACAAGAAAATGTCTTTGATCTCTTTGAACTAGCCTTGGATGGGTTGTCAGACCAGTGGAAACAATGCTACACTTCAAAAGTGATGTAGCCCATGAAATTCTACTTCATACTAATTCACCCAGACCAAGTGAATGCCAGCACTGTTGACTGAAGGTTGAACTTTTGCCCGTGTTCACTCCTTTGTATCCTGGGAAGCTGTATATGTGGCTCAGAGGAGACCAGGGAACACCTAAGGCATGTTGGTCTCCCTGGGAACACTGTAAAAGCCATCAGAAAGGGGATAGGGTACTGGGGTTTGTACCCCCACCCTGCTCCACGACACATAAAAGACTGTAAGGATTAGTTGTTCACAACCGTGGTATCTTGGAATGTCTGTTTTTCTTCTACAGCAACTTTGCAGAGAAATAGGATGATGGTTGTATACACAGTCTCAGACAATAGTGTCCACAAAAACTCAAATATCAAATCAAGTTTTACATTTAACAAGAGACTTACTTGAAGTAACAGGAACTTAAATCCTTTGTCCAAGAAATAATTTGTCATAAGGACTGATATTTTTGTTGATGCCTGCTGTATCCCTTTCTGCATTAATTTAGTACAACTGAGGAAGACTGCATTTTATGTAAATGTCTAAGAGGGACTTTATTTACATATCTATATAAACCTTTGAAATACAGGTAAGTAACAATGAGAAGTATCTCTGTTAAAGACACTTCTGTATTGCTATCATTTTTATGATCCTGCTGTACACAAATAAAGCACAAGCCTTTTATTGATAATTTATTATACACTGTAGCTTTGCCAGTAGTAATTCTTTCTCATGAAACAGAGGGAATGTCTTGAATAAGCAAGAGGGGAATTACTAAAGCTGTGTGACTGAGATTTCTCTTTCAGAGCACATGAGGCACATGAGACACTTTTTGAGAAGATTAAGAGTTGTCTTCTCAGAAACATTATTTTGCTCACAAATCTGAATTTCATAAAAGCTTAGTTTTACATTCTATTCTTATGTTTCACTAAATTTTAACATACAAATACATCTTCAAGAAGCCAGTTTATTAACACGACACGTGCAGTGACTTAAATACTGTATTACTGCTTCATGTTTCGTTAGTGGGCACGCACTTGTGGAAGCTGAGAGCCTAGTAAATCTATGCGACGTGCAAGACAGTGTCGAAGATGCCAGCAGACAACTTGGCTTCTTTTTCCCGAATTTTCATATACATAAATCAGATCAGCAAGTTGAAAAGACTTTGGCCATAATTAGACCTAAACTCTTAAAGGAAAGACGAAGTAAGTGTTAATGTAACTGTATTTTGTATCTAGGGTATATAAGTAGTCTCATATTTTGAATTTTGAATTAATAATTTTAACTTGAATAATGAAATGCTTTTAGGTTATATTGTTTCCCCAGAATAAGGCCAACAGTAATCTTTGTGTGGAATGAAGTTATATGGGTAATGTTTTTCATATATTGAGAATGTAAACGTCAATGCTATTTTGTTCCCTTGGTTGATTTTTCAAGAAAGGCTGTAGAATGTATATTTGGATGGAGTATTTCTAGAAGACATCTCAGATAAGCTAGTATTTTCAAATGCTCTATAGGGGACCATATTTCCCACCATAATGAAGTGGCTGATATTCTTGAATGGCAGCTCCAAGATAGATCAATGGCAAGGTGAAAAAGATACAGTCTAAGATATTCTATGCTGCATAAGGCGTTGCTGCTCAAGGGCGGGTCTAAACAGGAAACATTTTTACAGATTAAATAAAAAAACCTACCTCATTAACATGAACCTTCATCCAAACGTTTACTTTTCTTTTCAATCATATATTTGCATTTCTTCCTAGATTTTAGATAACACTTTTATTTCTAACTTGAGAATTTCTGTACTTGAAATAAGCTATACACAGGATCTGAAAGACTACAATTTTGATCTCTCCTTGAGTATTTATTTTCTTGATGGTTGTCTATTATGTAGCTTAGAACAGCAGTTCTGCAGGTAATTACATCATCTGTAGGTAATTACAGAGTTATTTTGACTTGTGCCAAATACAGCTTACTTGCCCATGTGGTCTTGTAAGACTTAGTTAAATAAACATTCGCCTATTTTAGTTCCTTAGACCTTCTTCCTAATGAGGTTTTGGAAGTAAGAGAAAACCTTAAGAAGATGAGGATCAGCTTTCTGAGTGTTCAGGCAACTACTGAAGTGCAATAACATTTGCTTTAAATTTGTTTTCTGTTCTTTAGTTAGGAAATTATTTTGCCTGTAAAAATTTAACATTATCATTGAAAAGTCCACGTGATTTCTCTAAAAGCGTGCAAAGTGATGCATGGATGGCTGTTCAGCATTATTTCAATATATTTAACAGATTCTATCATGCAAAGGATAAAGGACGATGGCTTCAAAATAGCAATGCAGAAAGAAATAGTCCTATCTGAAGAACAAGTACGTGCATTTTACAGTGAGCATGTAAATGAAGACTACTTCCCAGTCCTTCTAGAGCAAATGACCAGGTATATTAAATGAAAAATGAGAATGTGGATCTATGGATAAGACTGAAATTTTCACAATTAATAATTATAGAATCAGAGAATCAGAGAATGGCTTGGGTTTTAAGGGACATTTAAAGTCATCTAGTTCCAACCCCCTGCCATGAGCAGGGACACCTTCCGCTAGACCAGGTTGCTCAGAGTCACATCCAAACTGGCCTTGAACACTTCCTGGGTAATACATGGGTACAGGATACACATGTATCTAAAGGCCTAGTAAAAGTCAAAACAGTATCAGATAACTGCAGATAATAAGCTAATTCTTGTGTATAACAAATAAATAAATAAACGAGGCTTTAAAAATTACCAGTTTCTCCATAACTCATATGTCAAAGTCAGCAGCCAAGTCCATTGATTTGAGTGAAACCAGTTTACTCTGCTCTGAAAGGCTGCACTTAGATTGTCTGTAGGAGAGCTCTGAAATCTTCAACCAGCTGTGTGTTGGATACCTTGGGGAGGAGAAATAAATCATGTCTGGATATTCCCTTCCTATGATGTTGGGATATGGCTGGGGCATGAGCAGTGTTTCTACATCTTACTGTTGTGATAACACTCAGTAACTTTGCAATTTAAATTCATGTTTAAGTCTCATACGGTTTTATCAGACTGTAGTTGTTTAAACAGAGATTAAAGTCCTCTAATACCAGGGCTCATTTTCCTAGCCTGGACTATATATAATCAAACTACTTTTAAAAAGTACTGGGAGTTTAATTTTTTTTTTTTTAATGCTAGTTTTCCCATTCCACAGTGGTCCAACTCTTGTATTAGCTCTAACACGAGAAAACGCTGTAGCACACTGGAGAAATTTACTGGGCCCAAAGACTCTCGAAGAGGCCTGCAAAGAAAATCCAGACAGGTATAAACCACAATAGTAAACCATCATTCACAGCTTCCAATTTACTTTCCTATTCCTCATCTCAGTGAATATGACATTCCAATTGGTGTAACTATAGTGCCATCATCTGGAAACTGATGTGCATTTCTGCAATTTGTTCCGCTTTTCTAAGTGGTAGAAATAGAAACATAGAAACTATGGCATCTTTTGAGAAATAATGAATGGTAAGCACAATGAAAAGCTGAGTTTAAAAAAGGGTATTGAAGTGAAATGGGATCTCTTGAGTCAGACAAAAAATGTTGGTAAAACCTATTCTTTATGATGTTTTTTTCCTTGAAATACCACCATTATTTTTAGAACAAATGATTTTTCTCTTGGCTTAATGAAAACTTTGTGTCAGTAGAGTATTTTATTTTATTTATATATTTTTATTTTATTTTGTATATTTTATGTATTTTATATAGAGTATTTTTAAGCTTCTCCTATGCATTTTAAAAACTTACATCTTAGTCCTACCTGTTTATCTTATTGTTCTAAGAAGCTGTTGTGATATCATCTTACCTGTTGCAGACAGAAGTGCTGTTTCATTAAGAAGAAAGTTGTATTTCTTGGAAATATAACAAGATGAGAGTTGGGAGGGAAGGTGTTCAGATTTCAGATTGTCAGATCAACACTAATTCATATATTATAATATCTAATAATTATATAATTATATAATGTATATATTCATTCAGTCAAAGCTAATTATAATTCATAACTCAATTCACAGCTATTCCTTTCAGTAACTTCCCTCTTTTAATGACTCTTAGTTTGCGTGCACAATATGCAGTCGACGACGTACCTATTAATCAGCTGCATGGCAGTTCTACACTTGATGATGCTCAGAAGGAATTAGAGTTTTTCTTCCCTCAGGAACAAACTTTTGCATTAATCAAACCTGAGGCTGCTAAGACTCATAAAGGTAAGTCATTTAGAAGGTATGGGCTACGTCTACTGATGCAGACATTTCTACAAAATATTAGCAATACAGTACAATACAACAACACTACAGTAAATCACGTCAAATACACTCTTTTGACTCTCTGAAATGTATTTTCTATGCAGAGAAACAATTTTACAGGGCTTGCATAATTCAGATTGAGATCTCAAATGTGAAATTTTCTTTGCTTAAGCTGCCTATAGGCCTTTCTTCACAAGAATAGTGGTGAATTGAAGAAAGAGAGTTCTTAGATAAGTTGAACTGTTTAAAGGCTAGCTGCCTAACATCCTTTTAAGTCAAAGGAGAAAGACTTTCCAAAGTTACGTTACTTACTTCAGACAGGTACCTCTACTGACTCAAAAGGGGTCATTGCTCAATTAGATCCATTCCTATCCTTGGTTTAACTTGCCATTAGACAAAGGGAATAAGGAGGAAACATCACAGTGAAAAGTAAAAAGAGAACCACGTACAATTTGGAATCTTTTCTTAAAGATTTTTGTGGCCACTTTTTGAAAAATCCTATATCCAGAGCCTCTTCTGATCATTATTCTATTCTATTCTACTGAAAGTAAGCTTCAGTAGTCTTTCTAATGCTAATTCATCATTGCCTTTTGTGAATGTTTCTTCTCTTTTTGTAACAACCCAGATTGATCCTGGCAGGCCATCTGGTACTTGATATAGCATTACAGCTACAGTCCACGTTTTATCCAGTGTGAGAACAGTGAATGCTATTGCTATGGTTCATAACAGTCTGGGTTTAACACCTTCATCAAAATGGACAATGCAATTACTATGGTTTTTGTACATTTTATAGGACTGTTGAAGTGTTTATTATGTTGTCCACAGGTGTTTGATACTGTAACAAGAATTTAAATAGATGTTGGTGATTTTTAAAAAAAGACATCTAGTATTTTCCAAAACTTTTAAAGTTTGGGTGTGTTGGGGTTTTTTTGCATCTAAACCATGTCAATCAAAAATGAGCTTGTTTGTTATTCTCCTAGATGACATTATGAAAAAAGTTAAAGAGGCTGGATTTAGCATCTCGAAAATAAAAGAACAAGCTTTAACTCGTGAAATGGCTGCACAGTTTTACAAGGATCATGAAGGAAAACCCTTTTATGAACAGTTAGTGTCTTGTATGACCGAGTAAGTGTCTTGTTTTACAGTACTGAGCTATGTAAGTAGACATCACACTTTGAATTTACAGTGTCAGCAAATCGTGCTACACCGTAAGTGGTACAAGGATTTTACACTCTGTCACTCTTTCTGTCAAGTTTAGTGGTTTCTAGCACAGAGTGCTCTTCCTTTAAAAGGAAGATTTAAAATTCTTTCCAAATTTATGTGTAGTGACTATTAATTTGGGAATTTTTTTCTCAAAAAAAGTAACTGCTTTCCAATGGAATCCTTGTTCTTCCCATGAAGGACAAAATATCTTTCTCACAATGTTGTTAGTATAGCTGTTGATAAAACAGTATGTATTGTCTTGCTTGAGAAATTATTGGGCGAGAATATTTTTGGACAAGAACTCCAAATCTAAATACCTGATCATCATAATCTTTTGGGCTTTCAAATATGGGATATTGTCTTAAATGAAACACTCAGTAACAAATATTAATACTTAAACAGTTTAGCAAAATTCAGATAGTGCAATGCTTATCATAACCGTTCATGGTACCTCAGAAGTCAAAGCTAAGTCTGCATCTCAGAATAAAGAGCTTTCTTATACCGATTTTACAGGGGTCCATCAGTGATAATGGTCTTATCAAAGGAAAATGCTGTGGAAGAGTGGAGGAAACTAATGGGTCCAACTGATCCAGAAGAGGCAAAGAAGACCTGCCCTGAATCAATTCGAGCTCAGTTTGCACATGATATTTTGTCTAATGCTGTTCATGGATCATCTAATAGAGAACATGCACTGAAAAGCATTAAGTTTGCATTTGGAGAGATTGATACAAACTAAACAATTAAGATGCAATCTCTGGAAATTGATGTTCATGCCATTAGATGCATTTATCTACCTAATAATCTATATTTAAGACTATATAAACACAAGCAGTTTTCCTCATACTCAATCCAATTTTAATAAGGCAGGTTTTTTTTTTTCAGCTTTTCCATACTGGAGAGCATATATCGATATAACAAGTAGTGCCTGCTAGAAGTTTGTCATTGGTAATGATTTCTTTAGGTATGCTTAGTAGATAGTTGGGTTTTTTGGTCACTTTAACAGATTTATGCCTTTCCAATAGTTTCAGGATTTTAAGGTGTTTTGTATGTAGGTACCTTAAAAAGAACAGGGTCTAAGGAAGGTGATTAAAACACTATCAGTAGCACATATATTGTGTCAAGCCCTACAGTTCTAACTGAGAGCCAAATGGGGTTCCTGGGCTCACTGGACAACTCTATGTGTGTGCATCCCTCGTGAGGCTGCTCTGGGCTATTAAGGCCTGTTGGTTCCCTCAGGACCCTGAAAAACATTTGCATTGTTTATTTATCCTTTCCCTAAATATCTTCTAACAATTACTGTTGCAGGTTGGATAATAAACCAGAAAGTCCTTTCCAGCCCATTTACTCAATTCAAATGTATCAAAGGAACTAAAATATAAAGCCAGCTCTTACATAACAGCTATTCTTGACATATCCCTCTTTGCCAAACTAGTGAATTCATATCCTGTCCAGTCTAACTTGGCTGGCCTCCATAAAGAACACAAATATTATTCTGCAGCTGATATATTCTCACTTTTGCTGTCTGAGCCTCTTGAAAGCTGAGATACTAAAGAAAGGCATTCAACTAAAGCAATTTACTTATGGTGTTGATTTTAAGTGCAAAGTCCAGAAATAATGAAGTCTTTCTCACACGTTCTTTACTGTTCCTATTGTATTTAACACAACTAGCTGTTTTAAAGAGCTTCCTGACAAATATTTCTGTTGTGATGGGGCATTTGTTATTATAGACATTCCTCCAGCAGAAGTTGGACCGAGCATTCTCCTGGTGACCCATTTTCACCTACAGCTACTTTACTGCCATAAACTCAGCTTGAGGCTACCTAACCTGTAGGAAGTTATGATTAGTGCAGAATTCATATGCCACCTCAGTGAGGTGACTTCTGAGAAGCATACTTCAGGACTGCTGTATGTTCTTTGGCTTCTCTTTTACCCACTAAAACTGTTCTTCCTGGCTTTATTTCAGCGCTCAAGGTCTTTTGGGGTGCTGGCATGTTGTACTTTAAACCACGAAGCAGCCTCAGAGAAGGCCTGAGTAGGGTAATTTCAGATACATCAATTCTGCACATTTCCTGAGATCTTTGCTGGAGCTAATGGCTTCTCCATCAGTGGGGTAAATACAATGTTGAAAGTTTAGATGGGTTTATTTTTTGACAGAAGTACAAATGCTGAAAAGAGTAAAATGTGTTTATGTCTAATTAGGAGTTCATGGCACATCTGGTGGAGGTTCACAATTAAATAGTTTGGTAGGTATCATACACAGCTTATGAATACTGCGAATCATTTATTGCACTGGTCAGTCTGAGAAATTTCAGTTAGCTGGAGGGGTACTGTAGCTTAACCTCTGCCTATTTAAATGGAACAAAATTTTATATACAGAGTTATTGCTTGTTTAACCATTATCCTTCATCCTCCATTACATCAATCTTAATCAACATAGCATTTTCATCAGCTTCGTTTCACTCTTGGATGTTGAAGGATCTAGTTTTTTGGGGTTCATATACTTATGTATGTCAATTATGAGCCCTGTTTTGTGCTTGGTTAAAGCAATCCAGTAGATTACATTGAAATATTATACATAGGTGTATAACAGTTTTTTGTTCATTTTGCCTAAGTATCTAAACACATATTGAAATGTTGGAGCGTTTGATTTATTAATGCTCATTTTCTTCTCCCAAATATCTCCTCGATCTTAATCTCTTTTAGCAGCTTGGGAAACAAAGAATTAACCAGATACATCTCCAAACATCAAGAAATAACTGTTTCAGTCAGATGATGAAGAGATTCAGATTTGCAAATCTTTTATATCTTTGAGAAGCAGACTTTTATAGAATTAACAAAATGCATACTCAAATGCATGGTAATCAAAATACTGTCAATATTTTAAGAGATAACTTCATCTCTTTAAAAGTTTAACTCGTCACTTAGGTATTGCCCACATAATTTATACAACCATGCACTCTTCTTTGAAAATTATATCACTGTGACATTGATATGGATGTAATTTTAAAGAATTTGAACATTTGTGATGGGATTGGCAAGAATTTGATTTATAGAGTCAGGAGGAGTGTGTTCCAACATAAACTCCATTGAATCTCAAAGATTTAAATCTTGCAATTAAATTTACACAATTCCACTGCCAACAAATCTTACAGAAAATCTGACTCTGTCCATTTATCTCATATCTAAATGCCAGTTCAAAAGAGAATGTGGCCTTTGCGACTGTTTATTTAGAAAATATCTTGTGGTTCATCATAGAAATAGGTGGTGCAAAAATGTCATTAAAATTCTTCCAACACTAACAAAAGATAACATAATTACTTTGTCTCAGCAGGAGAGAAATGAAACCACAGGGCATGTTTATTTGTACCACAGACCACATATTTCCTTGTTTGGGAACTTTAATGAAATCATAATCTGACACTAAAGACTATATTAAAGATCCATTTCAGTTAGAATGATAAACAAGAAGGGGTTATAAATCTTAAAATACTGTTTAGGAAGAATAAGTATGTCTGACTGTAGTGAGGTTTTGCACTGAATTACAGCATAAAAAAATAAGGTATGTGGGGAAAAAGGTTTTTTTCCCTGCCAAGAAGATGGAGTCAATCAGCTTGTGGTTGTGCACTGCTGCACTGTTTTTCCTTTGTTCTGACTGCTGAATGAGCTACACTGGCAAGCCAGACCTTGCAAGTACCTAAGTATCTGTTCACTTTGTCCACAGTTCTTTTTGAGCAAATGATCAGCTTTCTGATTATCTGATTGAGAAGATGCATACTGATCTGCTCTGAGTATCTCCAAATTAAAGTTTTCATCACACTGTAACCACAAGGAATCAAAATACTTAGGTGCTGATCTGTTTGGGGCATCTCTTGGTCAATCTGATGCATCCATTAACCTTCTATCTGGAATATAGACTGCCTGACATATATAGTGACCCCCTGTCACATTTGGGGCTTGATCCTCATCTAGAGAAAAGGAGTGTGCCCTTCCTTCCATATGTTTTCCTTTATGCTCGTTGACATACTGGTTTATCCACAAGCCTTTTGGTCACAACAGGAGCCAGTCTGATATTAATTGAATAATTTACCATTTACTGCATATCCAACAAGCCCCTGAATTTACTGCATATCTAACAAGCAAGTTTGAAACCCTGTTTTACATTCCAGTAAAGCTGTTGTTTCATTTCAGAGATGTTACAGGGAATACAGTGTCAGCAATTGCAATTGAGTGTAGTTTTTCCAGAAAGCCTTGACCAGGTCTAATTAGAAGTAATGTACCTCTATAGAAATTAATGACTTGCAAATTAATGTCGTTTTTTTATTATTATTATAAAAGCAAACATAATTGTGAATGTTTGTTGAGCCATATTGACATATGATATTTATTTACAAAATTACAAAGTTTACCAGAAAAATCTGGTTGAGGAAATGTTTTCAGATGTGCATTTACATTCAACTCCTAAGCACAACCGGAAAGCATGTGTCAGTTTTGCATAACTGGAGTAAATATTTTTTCAGGTTTCATTCCTTTGGAATCTAGGTTACAATTCTGGATAAAATAATTTAAGAGTTGTTTGAGTATTTTGGACTGGAAATCTTCTTTTTATTTGCTTAGGAAGTATTTCTGTTGTACGCACTGAATGGATGAAAGTTGCAACACTGAATTGAAGTGACCGGGTCATTCAGGTTTTGGAGGGTGGTTTATGGTTTTTTAAAAAATGTGTTTCATAAAAGAGTTCTGATTTGCATTTGCACTGAGCTTCTAAAATGGTGCCAATCATTCACAATTAAATATTTTTTCAGGTTTTATTCTCTTGGAACTGAGGTTAAAACATTCAGTGAAAATACTGAATGGCACTTCTTACTAAACTAGGCGCATGTGTGTGGGAGGTAGTAAGAAATGCATTGGAAGCATATGTTTGGTGTTCCAGGCCATTTTTGATTTATATGGAAAGAATGCCAAATCCCTCAGTAAGAAGGCAGCTATAACACTGAGAAAAAAACATTTGACACTTCAACGATTTGGCCTGTTAATTTATCATCTTATAGTAGGTACAGTAATTACTTTCATCCATCAGCAAACTATCGGCCCACTCTGCTAAATCAGGATTTCATGACTCTGGTGCTGGAGTGCACTGACAAGCAATGGCTACACCTGGCCATGGAGGTACATGAGAAGAAGTGAGTCTGACCTTTTGCCCCATGCTGGACAGTGGAGTTGGTGAGTGGACCCTGTGGAAATCCATTTGCCTGTTCTAACAGGCCTCACTGATTTAACACCTACTTCACACCTTCACAAGCGAAGTAAAGCTGGCTGGAGGGTGCAGAAGTTCTGGGTCTGGATTCATCTGGCATTTGAAGTCACAGGAAGTTAATAGTTGTAAAGGATTTTCAAAATGGAATGGCTTGCATTAGTGCTGAATTGGGTTAACCCATTGCTTCTTAAAATATAGGAAAAAATGGATTTAGAAAAACACACTACCTTACTCATTCATCCCTTGCACATTTGTTCTTTGCATTATGATACCCCTGCTTTTTGTTGTATTGCCTTTCCTTCTTGCATATTTTTACATATGAGAATGAAAATTAGTCAGCATAAAGCATACCTAAAAGTGTCAAGAATTTAGAAACACCTGGCTTGGTGCATCAAAGTTTATTCCAGCATATTGGAATGGTCAACTTGCAGCAGGAATGGTGACAGTTCTCGGGAGAAAATAATTTTGACATTTTCTCCCCTGACTAAAAAAAAAAAAAAAAGTTAGTTTGATTTTAATAGTTGTAAAATAATATGTAATGTTGCTATCAAGTCTAGGTAGCTGTTCCAAAAGTTTCATTTAACAAACACCACACTTGACTACGTTCACAATAAAACCTGTTAAAGTGTAATATCATGACTTCAGTATTTGTTATTTCAACATCCCATTGATAGGACTGTTGTTTGCTCTTTAATAGCCAACCATATACATATTTACTGGGGTATTTGAAATTGGGTTCAATAGATAATCAAAGCTTAAGAACTCCTGCTACACAGCACACAAAACTATAGAAGTTTTCCAATCATACTGAACTTTTAGATCCGGCTTACTTAAGTCAGCATTTTCAAACTTACCTAAATTAGTCACCTGCAGTGAAATTCTGTCTCCTTTGATTTCCATTTCAGTTTTTCCATTTGATTGTACAGGATTAAGATTTCTCCTATAGTCTGTATTTAGGCACCTAAATTTGTGGTCTGTTTTTTAAACATGTCAAACACACCTAATTCTCACTAAACTCAATTGATGATACATATGCTCAGCATTCCTGGCAGCTGGAATGAATTTTGGATCTAATTCTGCAGGTGTTTCATGTAGATAAATTTCTGCACCTGCCCAGAATTAGCGGTAAGGCCACATTGAAATGCTGACCTTTGCATATTTTAACCAACGGCTCAAAGCTCAACCAATGACCATGTCTGCCAAACTATCCTACATGCTATTATTCCATTTTTATGTAACACCTCTGCCTCTTTGTTTTAAGCATTCTAGCTTGGCATTTATGTCTCCAGCTCGTGCTAGCATATACCAGCTATAAAACTGCAGCTACCAAAATCATTCCTGCATGTTCAGCCTTGAATTTCATGCATGCAAATTTCATTGCAATTCTTGTAATAACAAAGATCAACATGCTGACATGACAAGTTGTATCTCCTTATGCTAGTCTACACAGAACTCTTTTATTTTTTTTTCTGACATAGACCCTCTCTATTTTAAAAATGCTCATTTTGTTTTATAAACACCAGGATTGACAAGTCTAGCCCTTAGTCTTCCTGCAGGAACTCTTGAAGGTCTTTCAGATTTCTTATCATGAGCTCTTCTGATCCTAATGTAGGTGATTTTATGTGTTAAATGAAATTGAAATCAGAATGTGTTATCTATGCTGCCTTATCCAAGTACATGTTGGAAGGATAGCATAAATATCATCTTGGAGTTATGTTAATTAGATCTATACTCCCTTGCTACTTCATACAGCAAATGTTAAGTGAGTAAACTTACTGCATAAATAAAAGCATCTTCTTTTTCTGTCAACCTTTTCAGAATAAGTATTACTTTCTGATCAGCAAAACTGCAGAGAGACAGTTGCTTTGAGAACTTCATTAGTAGTGACAAGGGCTATTCATTTATTTATTTATTTATTTATTTGGTACCAGAAAAAGATTAGAAATATGGTGTCAAATGATAAAAAATTATCCACATGATTACTGAGCCACATGAAGTCTTATCTTCTCCTCATACTGTATAGTAGCTGTCAGTTATGTTTAGGATAAAGCTTCTATTCCAGTTTTCATAACAAGGCTATATTACAGCAAAAATAAGTTTTACTTTTAAGAATTCTACAGATCTGCTTCACTTTAATCTGTCCTTTCAAAAAATACTGATTTTTCAATTAGATGCTTAAATATATTTGAAATTAGAACAGAAGCCAGCCTGAAGTGCCATAAAAAATTAAATGTGTGCTTTCAATGCATTTTTTCTACACAAACCCACAAGATCAAATACTTACAGTGTAAGCATATTTTCATCACACACATAAAAATAATCACATAATGCATACCCACATGCTTAATGGTAAACCATGCTTTTGAACACTCTGAACAAGGGCTGTGATTCCAAACAGCGGATAGATTCAGCTCCAGTAGTTGCTCCCCGAGATGTCTGCCAGAGGTTACCATCCCTCTGCTGTTCCTCAGCTGCTGTGTCTGGTGAGCTAACTCACAGCCTAACTCACCAGCTATTACACCTACATGCAGCTCCCCAACTTTTGGCAGGGAAGCAGAGCAGGCAACTGGCACAAGGAGTCAAAACCTCTGACAGCCAAGGCTAGTTCTATCTAGAACTGCAAATCAGAGCCCAAAGATAAAGCTCAGTCAGCTGGAATATGCCTACCTCATATAAGTGCAAACCTACGCTCTATGGCTTACAGTGACTTGAAAGAAGAAGCAAACCTCTTAACAGTAAAGTGCAGCAAAAAGGTCTATGTAGAAAGTGACGTGATTTTTTAAGTCAGTGAGTTCCAGATTAACAGAACATGCCCACAAAGCCAGATTGTGACCCTCGTCGTGCAGGGAAAGTCTTTCCTTTTGGAAATTTCACTCTCATGCTTTTTTAGGGTTGATTTCTTTCTGGCCATGTCTTATTTTAGTGGCCTTTTTGGGGCCACTGATCAGCGGGCTGGTATTCTTGGTTGACGGTTTCAGGGCTCCAGTCTGACCACTACGTCCTGAATTCTGGTTCTTACTGCGGGCAGTTCGCCGCTTTTGCTCTTGCAGTCTCTGCTCCCACCTCTGTAGAAATGCAGAAGACAAAGAGGATGAGTTAGGGAAGGACATAAGCATAAATAATTATGACTTAATGTTATCCCAAACCACTGATACTAGTGCTGCTTTTAACAGTTTTGTGCTCTATACTGCAAGGCCATTGATGTCAACATGTTGTGATTATTTGCAAGGGGAGCCTAATGCATGTTCTTGAGTGGAGGGAATTTCTACAATATCAGTGGATGAAAATAACAACTGCCCATCTTCTGTGCACGCTGCAAGTGCCTTTTCAGAAATCCAGGGGATGTGGCACCATGCCATCAAAATGCCGGGATCAGCACACTGGAACTCCTTGGCAAGTCCCTTCCTCGCTGTCTTACTGAACGTGCTACTTGACTTTTCCTCAGAAAAGTCTGCAGAAATCAAACTATCCTTTCACAATACATATCTAAGCACACAGCTACAAGGGAAGGCAGTATTTATTTTCTTGGTTCTGCTTTTCTGAAGGAGGGGAGAGAACACAGTATGAACAAGCTTATATTATGGACAGATAATGGAAATGACCACTGAAATCACAGTGTTCAGAGTTGCAATGAGATGACTGTGAATAATGTTATCTGCAGCTCTATTCAGCAGCATCCCTGATAAATTTTGAAAAGAAATTAGATCAATGAGCCCACCAAAGAGAAGAGTTGTCAGATTTTCAAAACCCAACAGTAGTCAGAAAACAGGTTTTTACATTGGGTTTAAGTGGTTGGGTCTCCAAAACGTGGAGGGATCCACAACACTACAGCAGAGACTTCAGTCTTTCACCTCTAGGAACAGAAATACCTATTTTAAGGAAAACAAGGCAAACAGTAGAAACCCCAAAGGGCAGGGGGTTTACCCACATGATCAGAGCAAGAGAATTGCAGCTTCCCTGTTTAGTATCTCTGCACTGACCCTGTTGCAACTCAGACCTTTGTCCTCACTAGAGAAGAGACCAGTCATGCTGTGATTATGTTAACAGGTGTCTTCTGCGGTTCACAGACAGCTCAAAACATTCATTTTAAGTGGCAACTCAAGACAAAAGTCAGATGAAAGCCTTCACAGATGAATGATGGATATTAAAATGAATCCACTGTGATACCTAGCTCCATACTCACTCTGTGTAGTCACGGTCATTTTATGCATCTTTATAAAAAAGAACCATCAGCAGTCATTTATTTAGTTGTGTCCCACTCAAGCATGTTTAAATGAGGATTTAGTTTATGACACTATTAATATCAGAGGAAATGACATGTGCTTTGAGAAGCAATTTGTTTGGCAGTCATGCATGTATTTGACAGTCTGGAAATGAATGCCCAAACATCTTTCAAGGCACTATTAGAAATGACAAAACAGTGTACAGAAGCAACTAAAACACACTGTGCGCCAGTGACAGACCATTAAGTTGACAGCTAAGGGATTTAAAGAGTCCGAGTCATATATCAATATTCTTCTAAATCGCACATGGTATCCTCTGCGGTTGCCATGCATTTATTTTTTAAAGATTTAAAGTATGTTTTCTTTTCAACACATAGGTGTCATAGGAGTAAGTGAAAATGGAATGATAAAAGCATCAAATACAATTCCCTGCAAGAAGCTGGTCTGTAATCTAAAGGGTTCTACTTAAATATTCCTACATCAATTGCCAATCAACTTATAATTAAAATAAACATACATGTGTGTCCTCAATGCTCTGAAACCTTTTCTGAATTCCAGAAATAACTTTCTTCCATCTCTAAAAATGGGAGGAAGAGTCAGACATTCTCTCGATCCACCCTTTCTTTCCATTATAAAAAGGAATTTACAAGTAAGGAGTGATATGAAGTGATATTCTGAAGCCCCAAAAAGCAGGGGCATCTGCTGCACCTGCCACCCAGGTCTCTATACAACAGACTTTTCCTTCCAGTGTTCCCTGAAACCAGAGTGAGAGAGAGATGATGCCCAATACTTTCAATTGGTCTTTAGTAGGGAGTACCTGGTGAGAAGTCTGTGTCTCCAGCCTGCAATCTTCAATACAGCAAAGGCCATTAATCCAGTGCAGTGGATTTTAACTTCCTTTCTTACCTAATGTGGACTATGTACTCATCTTCATATCACCTATCTGACAGCTACTTGCCTTAGCAATGATATGAAAGAAATTCCTAGAGTCATTACTGTAATAAACCAGAGTTCACACAAAGATCATCCAACCAGATAAAAAAAAAAAAAATAGAAAAATATTTTAGATACCCTAAAATGCAAGACTAAAATTTTCAAATTTTCACTTTATGAGGTCTGAAAATGTTCAAGTGAAAATAATAATATGCAGATGTGCTACGAATATCTGAAAGTCATAAAAGTTGACAAATGCTGAAGTAAAAACAAAGCTGTTTAACTTTTTATCAAGAACATCAACATTGTTTTCTTTGGTTGTATTTACCTTAAACCTTCTGTTTAGTTGATCCTTCCATTTTTCAACTAGACATCCATCAAGAAGCATTAACCTGAAAATTAACAAACAAACACAAGTCACAGGTATTTCTGACTTTGATTCCTGAGATGCCATTCCTGATGATTTAACACAGACTGAGGTTGAAATGCACCCATAGATACTGGCACTGAGAATTTCATATTTTCACTTATGCCCGCTATATGTTTCTCTGTGTGTTTGTGTAAAGAGTAGATTAAACTACTATATTTTACTTCTGAATTTAAAAAAAAAAAAAAAAAAAAAGAGAGGCTGATTCACATGCACCACTTAATACAGCTCAGCTGAAAAATGGTAACATAAATATCTGACCACTTACAATTGTAACCATTTCTACATATAAATACATGAGGATGGCATTATGTGTTTCCTACATGTAAATGCTTAATGAGTGGTTTAAAGAGAATTTGGAAGAGGTATGGGTAGCAATACTTGCCTAACAATGAAATCTGGCTAGCTCCTCTATGAAAACACTGAGTCTAGGTGTTATGAAACGAAAAAAATAAGTTTCTTCTAAATCAGTCTGATGTCACACCTTCTAAGTACCAACCTAGAAAGAAGTTTTGGTTTGGTTTGGATTGGTCATTTATTTGATATACCAGGCCATAACATGCCCTGATAAAAATTCCGTTAAAATTCTGGAAGGTTTTACTTAGACATCCATGTGTCCAGTGTTGGCTGAAGACATCTAATTATCATTGCAAATGCACACAATTTCACATGGCCCTTTGCTGGCTGGAGAAGTTTACACAGTGTAGCAGGGCCTGATCTCCAGTTTCCATGAAAAGTGTTGCTGCTCCTGGCAGTTCAGACACAGTACAAAGTGCTGCTTCTCAGAGTCATTAGCCACAGTGCATCCACTTTGACCAAACATAAAAGGCCTAACATGAGTGCAAGCCACTGAGAATCAAGACCAACATGATATACATTTCCTTTCCTTTTCGAGGAGATATTAGAGGACTAACATATAGGATTGAAGCTAAGGACACATTGTAATAAATGAAACCACAACATGGTGTACACTTGATGCAACTTCTCTTCAGGTCAGATTATTGAGGGAGACCTTAACACCACTGACAGGGGCTTTGTCACTGACTTCAGTGGAGACACAGCTTCCACCCATTTCGCTTCTGTCATTTTAAAAAACTGCTGTAACTCAAAACCTTCTTTTTGCATGCCGCTGAGTTCAACAGGAAGCACATATAATAGTTTATGTTTCTTTTTCAAATCCATTTTAGTACACTATATGAAATTAAAAACCTCAGTGACCTTTAAAAACAGTCACAAGATATTTAGTGAATGGTGTGTTTTTCCAAAGTAATGGAGATGCAGATTGTGATCTCTGACTTTTGAAATCTCCCTTTCCTGACAGCCTCCAGAGGATCCTCTCCAATAAGGCTCTGCAGCCCAGAGCTTCCCCATCACAGTCTAGGTCATGGTTCTTCTATGTGACTCAGAGCTTGTATCCCTAAAACAGCTAGCACAAGTAAAAGGTTCTAGATTAATCTTTGTTAAATGCAGCAAAGTGCTGTGTAATAATAAAATGCTGTGCTTGTTAGCTCACAAAAAAAAAAAAAAAAAGGTTACAGTAATAAGGTATCAGACGGCAACTTTTAGAAACACCTGGAAAATGCTTTTGAAATATCAACATGAAACTCTTTAAAAATATGTGTCTGCGGTCCATCAACGGTAACATCACTGTATGTGAAACTAGCCTGCACATTTTGCAGCCAGCCTTGCCTCTGACCCACAGCACACAGGCCTACACAGTACCTACCACACCACAACCTGTCCTGCTCGCACCTGCTGCTACTGGTACACTTGGGGTGCTAATGGGGATGGGACGTCCCCTTCTGCCTCAAGGAACCAGAGAGAAAAGGGAGCCGTGATTCATCACTCCTTCCCCTCCAGACCAGCATGCTGGATTTCCTTCCATGCCTGGGGCTAGGCTGACTGCCAGATGAAAGGTCTAGTAACGTTAGTTTTGCTTTGTTTTTTTCTTTTAATCATATAGCAGGACTGGCAAGCCGCTCTGAGAGTATTTACTTTTCATCTGCCATCTGGGAGCTGGAGCTCCAATGGCTGCAGCTTCGGCTGGCCCCAGTACAGCTGTGGGATCACAGAATCACAGAATATGCTGAGTTGGAAGGGACCCAAGAGGATCCTCAAGTCCAGCTCCTGGCCCTGCACAGGACCCTCCCCAAGAGTCACACCACATGCCCGAGAGTATTGTCCAAATGCTTCTTGAACTGTATCAGACTTGGTGCTGTGACCACTGCCCTGGAGAGCCTGTTCCAGCACCCAACCACCCTCTGCATGGTTTCTGACAGCATTGGTTCAAAGTATGGACGGGCCAGTGGAGAAGGCCTGGCTCTGACTCCCACAGCTCTGCAGGCAGCAGATATATATAATCTCCTGCCTTCTCCCTTGGGGTCGGTGAAGCAGAACTATGCCTTCTGTGCAGTTCTTCCAACACAGATCATCATCTACAGCCACCATTAGGTTTGTAGCACATGAAGCAGCTCATACCAATGGAAAGTGGTCCTGGAAAAACACTCCCAAACAGCTAGAGATGCCTGAACTGCTGCATGATGCATTAAGCAAAATGCTGTCAGCACCTAATGCCACCAGATTTTATGCTCCATTTGTGAGCCAAGTTTTGTAAGCGCCACATTGTGGTACAGAGCTGAAACTCACGAAGCAGCAAAAGTCAATTGCGAAGGTAATCGAAACGTGTACATATATGTATGAGTTATCCTGACAAAAACCATCAGCAAAACATGCCTGTGATGAGGAAGGAAGCCTTGCTCACCCTCCTTCCAATGTATCACAGCCAGCTATAACACTTTCCTGCCCCACATCGCCCGGGCTTACCTTGACCGCCATTCATAGCACATGATGAGAACATCCTGCTTCGGTTGAAGAGGTGGACATTGGCAGGAGGAATTTGTAAGAAGAGGCACTTGGGACAGAGGAATTGGTGTTGAAGACTTAAGTATGTCTTTGACTTCGACCACAGTCGTTATCTCATTGCAGTTGCCTCTTTCTACACTTTTTACTTTAGCGTGAATGACTGAAAATAGAAAACAGAAGCATGAGAACAATAAACGGTCTTAGAAATTTAAACACATCTCAAAACAAAATAAAACATATTAAATTGAAAGCTGTTGTTCCTGTTGTGAAACTAGAACTACTTCTTCGTGTGTGGGCATGAGCAGCGGCTTAGAATAACAGAGGCCTGATCCCAATTCAATTTTCAGTAGGACTGCTGACAACTGTGAAATTAAACATGTGCTTAAATCTTTGCCAGATCAGGCCAAGCAATCTTGCCTGGAATCACACACATGAACAGCTCCTTCAACTCAGTCTTGAACAACCCTTTGAATACATCAGACCCATTCTATAACCACATCTGGTTATTTCCGACTAAAAATTAGTAATTTACCTCACAGACAGTTATCATGAATTCAGTCTTTTCAATAACAAAATCATTTCCCTTCAGATTGCAACCAGAAACTACCATCTTTTGTTAAATATAAGAAAGAAGGGAAGGTTTGAAACAAGTTATGAAAAAACTAAGAGGCTTGAGATTGTCACAATTTACTCAATCTATACCTTTTTTTTTTCATCTTTTGCCTTTGGATTATCCATCAGTAGTGATATCCTCATATAAACCAGATGCTGAGACAGGTTCTTCTGACTATGAGTACAGAATAATTTATATTTTTACTTTTCATTAAGGAAAACTGAATGTTCGGATGGATGTAAGAAGGTGAAACTGTGTAGATTGCTCTGAGATGATCCCTGGTAGTACCTACCACTGCAGCATTTCATCCCTTCTCTCTTGTGAGAAATACCAGATTAATGAAGTGTGATTTTTACATGAAGGACATTGGCTCTAGGAAATGTCAAAAACAAGGTTCCTAATATCCAAAAATTCATCAGTAAAAGAAGCATGAGAATTGTATGGACCACAGGGTGGTCAGCCTGCATCAATGCTGCCCCTGCCAGCCACCAGGTCAAAAGCCTTCAAATGAACTTCATAAAATTTGTAATGAACTTCACATGTAGAAAACAGAAAGCCAGCACTTTTAATGCAATCTGGGGTCTTGTGCTACTTTTATCAGGACATGAATAACACATACAAAACACATGAGAAATATCAGTTTTGGAGATTCACAATCTCTTTTGAAGTTTGATTGGAAACCAAGTTCTGACCAACTAGAAATACAATTTAGCCGTATGTATTATTTTAAAGGATTTCAGAAAAAAAAAATCAACTTGTTCAATGTTACCTCAATTTATTTTCCATATAAACAGGTCTATTTATTTCAGAGGAGGCTGAATAAAAATTTACCTCTCAAAACCAAAATCTTGATTGCACATATTCAATGGAATTAAATATTGGAACCCAATTCATAGACTTTACTCAAGGAACAGTCCCACTGAAGTCACTGAAATCAGAATGTATATGACTAACACTTGTCTTTCATTTTATAACAGTCGTTTTATATCACTGCTTTTCATACATTTCAGACAACTGTGGAAGTTAATTTTTCCACCTAAACATTTCCCTCTGTATTGAGACAGATCAAGGAAAAGAATATGTCATATAAATGCACCAAAATGCTATAACAAAAAAACCCAAAAAACTCTACAACTACCTAAGTTAGGTATTTAGCTTGATTATTCCCACCAAACTGGGGTTTGGATTTTTTTTTCCATGCTAACAAAGCAAATAACCACAAATTTACTTTCATTTGATATCAAACAAATAAGAATTGAATGGTCATAATAACGCTATGGCAGAAGAACTGAATAAATGCCTCAAAGAAAAAACTGCCACCTGAGGAAAAGCTCATTAAGTGCAAACTATGATACTGTGTATTAAAATCACAGTTAAGAGGGGGTTTCTGTTGACATTACAGGCGATTAATCTGACATTTACCTAATCTTAATTAGAGTTCTTCCTCACCACACTATCAGAAAACCAAAACAGGGGGGCAGGGGGGAGTCAAGGGGGAAGAGGGGTGAATATTTATTTTTATGGCCAATATGTCATGCAACATATAATAAAACTATCAGTCAACTCCTTGGTTGGATGCTGCAAATTGTCATTGAATTCACTTAATCTCTAACAACTCTGCACCTGACAGGGCTCTGGCTAGTAAGAAAAACCATATACGAATTTTTAAAAACTTTTTACTTTGCTACGGTTTTGTTCATATTTACATTTTTATTTAGGTGGCAAATATCTGTTTATTCTTCCTGCTGGATGAAAACGAGCTGGTTTTGTTTTTCACCAAACAGCGAGTGCTCACATTAAATGCAATTGCACTTACTAGACTGACCTTCACAGTAGCAAGCCCTCTTTCTGCAGAGCAACCTGTTGATGTCAGTGCACATTACCACCACTTCACTGCTTTTATCAGAAACACACCATCACCTGCACAATTACTACTACTGCCTGCATGTGGTGTGTGCTTAGAGCTGGGTTTTGGAAGAGGACAGCTAGCTGTCCCCGGCCAAAAAGCCTCTTGGAAACGCTGAGGTGGAGTGGTCTACTTGTGCCACACTTGCTGGATGGGGCATGGTGTGGGTGTAGCACCCACGTGGAGCTACCTGGCTTGCAGGGAACACAAAGAGGGTGTGGGACAGGCAAAGTGAAACGTTTTCCCCCCATGCACTTACTGTAGCTGTAGTTCTTGGCCAGGTAGTTTGACAGCGTAGGCTTTGTCTTTTTGCACCTGCACCGCTCTTCAAAGGAAGAGAAGGGAAAACGGTTGAGGGGTGTCAGAGTGAGCCTGTCTCCGGGGAGGGGGAGGTGGGGGGGTCGCCCAAGGCTCACCCTGGCCACGGGTCCTGCAGTCGGGCTCCAGGGGTCTGTCCGGCAGCATCATGCCCTGCGTGAAGTCCGTCCACTTCACATCTGCAAACAGAGGCGCGTCAGGGAATGAAAACTGTCGGGAGTGGCTCCGGGACTGAGGCGTGGGGGTCCCGCAGCACCCCCCCAAACACACACTGCGGGGGTAGAGGGGGTCTGCCCTCCCGCTGCTCCCGGGGTGCTCACCCTCCGGCAGGTCGGTGACGATGGCCTCTGGGGAGATGCAGACACCGCGGTCGTAGACGGGGAGGTCGTCGCAGGCGAGGCTCTCGGGCCAGCTGTGATTGTAGCGGCGCATGATGGGCTCGCAGCCGTCGCGGGCGCGCTGGCAGACGGAGCGGCACGGCTTGATGGGGTCGTAGAGGAACTCCAGGGTGCAGATGGGGGCGTACATGGCGCAGAGGAAGAAGGGCAGGACCGGGCTGCAGCCTGTGGCCACCAGCTCCTCGTACTGTTCGATGGCGAGGACGGCGTTTTCCTGGGTGCTGTGATGGAGGTGGTTGGGCATGCGGGTGATGTTCCAGGGCATGGAGCGGCACATGGGGATGCGCACCGCCTCGCACGGAGCGCCCTGCGCCCGCGGGCTCACCCGCAGCCACAGGGACACCGCCACCAAGGCGCGCAGCATCCTTCTCCTCTTCCTCCTCTTTCTTGTCCCTCTTTCTTGTCCCTCTCCTCCGTCGCCGCCCGCCGCCGCCCCGCGGGTCCCGGCGGCCGAAGGGCGCGGAGCGGCGCTGCCTCCCGGTGCCCGGCTGCAGTAAAGCCGCGGGAGCCGCCGCGCCGACAGCCATGGACATCGCGGGACCGCATTTATACCGGTGGCACGAGTGACGTGGGGCAGATCGCGCTCCCTTGGCAGCCCCGCTCCTCCGGGGGGGGGGTGGGGTGTGCGTGTGCGTGTGCGTTTTGCTGTGCAGGCACGGTGACATCACCTCCACCCCGTTTAATCCCCCGGCGACATCACTGCGTCTCTCGGCCGCGGCTCCAGCTCCGTTTCAGTTTTCATCTGTGTCATAAATTCCTTCAGGTGGAAGGAGGGGCGGAGGGGAAGGAAAACCCAAACCACACGGCTCTGCCGCGGGGCTCTGCGCTCCGGCGCGGGGAGGGGGAAGGCGACGGTAGGGACCGCATCTCCCTCCCGCGGGGCTGAACTTTACGCCGAGTTTTTCTTAAGGCAGAAGAAACTTTTTGCGGGCTTGAGGGAGCTCGGCGGCTGTTCCCGGCGCCTCCAGGAAGTTGTAGAGTTCCCTCTGTGAGCTCGGCACGGACGGGGAAAGGCGTGAAGCGGACGGGCGGACAGACGGGTTCCTTGCCCGGTTTGCTCGGGACCGGGGAAGAGGCGGCAGTCGAGCCGAGCCGATTCGGGAGCGGGCGGTAGGGCCGGGGCAGCGCGGGGCCGGTGTGGGGTTGCTTTGCGGGCAGTGAGCCCCGCGTTCCGCTCCCCCGCCTCTGTCCCGCACCGATCGCATCTGCTTCTCCAAAGTGGTCTTCTATTTTTTCTTTGGTGCTCCACGACCACGCTCCCCTGATGCAGCGTAGTGGGGTGCCCACGCGGGGGCATGGGGCTTACCTCCCACCCCACCCTGTGCACGGAAAGACCAACGGGCCCTTTCTTCACTTGTGGGGAAATGTTGCTACTTTCTTTGAGGGACCCGCTGAGAAAATAAGATTAACTCCATGCCAGATTATCGCAGTGGCCTGTGAGTGACCCAGCACGGCTCAGAGGTGGCAGCTCCCTGGCCTGCCCCAGCCAGGTACCGGGATGCCACCGGTGTTCCCCCTTGCAGACGCAACAGAGTTGCAGAGACGGGGCACCTGTGGAGCACAGGTTTCCCCCTCGCTTTGTGGGCGACGAAAGTGCATCTAGAGCGGGCAGGAAACAACAGTGGATAAACCTAAGAGGGCAGTGGTAGGTGAAGGAATGCATGTGCTTTGTGACACTGCCTGCCCGTGGGGAGCCACTGAAATTCCCCCTTCGAATACAACATTAAAGCACTTTGACCCAGCAGGTCCCTCTTGTTCGTGCATCCCCCCGCCTCTCCAAGCCTGCACAGAACGGCTGCTGCTTGGGCCTCGCAGCTGCCCCCCTGGGCACCCCCCAGGGGGCACAGCCAGGGTGCGCAGACCTTCCCGGGTGCGGCGAGGGAGGCGTGGGAGAGCGAGCGCCCCGTAGCCCGTCTCCTGTCGCCCCGCCGCCTCCTGCTCCGCTTGTACGCGGCAGCTGGCGCAGCAGCCGCCCGTCCCCGCCGGGGTGATGCGGGTTTGGAGGCGGGCCGCCCCCGCCCCCCGGCACAGCCTGCCTGCCCGCCCGCCTGCGCGCCGTGCGGGGCGGCGGGGTGCGGTGCGGAGCGGAGCGCGGAGCATGGCGCGGCCGGAGGGCGGGCGGCAGCTGCGGCCGGGGTCGGGGCCACCGCTACCGCTGCGGCTGCTGCTGCTGTTGGCCGTCCTCCTGGTGCGGGGTGGCGCGGCGGCGCGGGCCGAGCCGTGCCAGGCGCCGCGACAGTGGGAAGGGCGCACCGTGTTCTACGAGCACGGCTCGGGCCGCAACACGCGGGCCGCCGTCTCCTACGATGGCCCCAACCAGCGCCTCCGCATCCTGGAGGAGAGGAAGGCGCTCATCCCCTGCAAGAAGTAGGTGGCGGCGGCGGCGGCGGGACCCTGCGGCGGGGCCGGGCGGGGCGGGGCGGAGCTGGGATGGTCGGCACAGAGCGCGGAGACGCCTCCGGGGAGAGTGTGGGGTGATGCGAAGCCGGGAGGGGGGTGGTTTCCCTCGGCCCCCAGCGTTGCGGGCGCACCTTCCCTACCTGAGACGGGGGAGCGCGGGGGACACCAAAGGGAGGCATCTGCGTATTGGGAACAACCGGCGGTAGAAAAATCTGTCACCATAGTGACTTAGATCCGTCCTCCTTACCTCTGTGCATAAAGAGATTTATGATCAAGTGTCAGCTTTTTACCTCCCAGCTGTTTTGTCTTTTAAGTGGGATGGGAAGCAAGACCAAAAATACAGCCCAAAATGTGAAGTATAACACGTATTGGGAAGTAAAATGAAGATATTATACTCAAACGTGAATAATGTCATGGGGGGAGGTGGGAGGTTCTAGCTCAGTAACTTGCTAACATATTACAAGTTCTCTGGACGCTCTTGGTCCTTAAGTACCAAGGTGTCAGGATACTTCTGTTATCTGTGATACTGTGTATTCACACCGCAGAGCCCTGCAGGACCTCGCTGTTATTCATTTATACGAGATGTATCTGTTAAGACCATAAGTAATCCCCACAAATCCCTGTGTCATTGTGCATTTCTTGTTTTGCTGAAAAACAAGCATGGAAAAAAGCTGACTGAAGAAGAGCGTCTTTTTCTTCTCCTCAACCTGCCAAGCTCAGGTTGGGTAGAAGAAATAATCAAACCAGAGAGGCCTTCCTGAGTGAGACCTTTCTGGCTACCAAGGGTCAATGACTTTCAGACAACATGTCAAGACATACCTGCCAGTGTGAGAGTAGCCAGTCTGCCCGTACCTCTGCCTCTCCCACCTACAAATTGTTCAAATAATAGTGCATCAGTCCCGGAGATGTGTAAGACAAGGTAAAGACAGGCCTACAAATGCTGTATCATCCAAACTAAATGGTCTCTGCTCTTGAAAGATCAATAATCCTTTTTGCTGCTGCCTTTTTTTCTTGACAATCAATTTCTTACCAACATCGCATGGTAATTGTTGCAGTCTTTTCAAATGCTCTTCTGTGATGCTTTCTCTACAAATCCCCTGACACTCTTAAAACTGTTTTATGTGTTTCGTGTTCAGGCTTAACTTTCTCTCATTGTAAGTTTTTTTCATCACTGTTTTCATACAGGAGCCGTATGAAGAATGTTAAAAACAACACACATCTGTTTGCTGGTGTTTTGCTAAAATATGGCCTAGAGTCTGACACTGGCCTAGAGGTGCTCATGCTTCCCTTCTTCTAAAAGTCCTAGGTTGACCTTCCTGTTTAACAAGCATAAAACTGTGCTACAAAGTCCAATGCAAGGGTTTTTTTAGATTCTCAGTTGTACTGAATTAATTTCTTCAAGCTTTTATTTGAAAACTTTATTTTAAGATTGAATAATTATTCTACATTTTCTACTCTGGGACAGATCGTGATTCTTGCAAGATCTTATCTTTTTTCCATTTTTAATAAATATTTACTCTGGATTCAGTTTTTTTCTGGGCTGACAGGACTAGAAGGAGGCAGAGTCCAGTAGGATGCACTTGAAACATTTCTCTGTTTGTTTTTTTCCTGTATTAATTTTTTGTTGTAGACAATTTCTGACCTCAGGGATCCCCAGTGGGATGCTGACTGCTTTCTACCATCCGAAACAGGAGAGGGGTTTTGTTATGTGTGCAACTAGTGCTCGGGGCATGACTCTTCCAGGGCTTCCGCTGAAGCCAGCGGAAAGTCTACCATTGATTTCAGCGTGTGTTGGATTGGGTCTGGAGCTGTGATCACATCTCCATTTCCCTGTGGACACAGTGAGTCATAATCTGAAACCTTCAAAAGTTAGAGGCAAGGGGATGTATCCTGTCTTCAATAATAACTTCTCCCCCACTCTGCTTTGACGTTGGCAGAAAAAAAGGGGTAATTATGCCTAGGTAGGGACTACAAAATCAATAAGAAAAATAGTTCTGGTCTCTAAGGAAATCTTGGTCTAAATTATCACATTTTGCTCCTATCAGATGCAACTTATGTGCAGCAATCAGGGTTGGCCAACAACCACATTTTTCTACAAAACATTTTCTGAAGATTGTGAATGTGAACATTAATCAGACACAGCCCTGTTTGAGTTATTGACTGAGGTTAATCAGGGACGCAAAAGATTTTGCTGGGTGGAATGGCTTGTAGGCTCATAACTGCAGGAAAACATGAAACTTTCAGTTTTTATTGTAGATACATGTTTCAAATTCATGTAATTTCCTGTCTGGCATTTTCATACGTACATCAACCCAGTAAAGCATACCTACATCAACCTCAGAAAAGTAGCCATAAGGTAAACATCCAGTTGCTGCTTCGTTAACATCACTTCCTCTCTCGTCAGTCATTGAAGAGCACCCGAGATGCAGTGACAACATTGGCTCCCCGTTGTCCAACTGCAGTGTGCCACCTGCCACCTGAGCACACACTGCACTTGCCAGACAACAATGCAGAGCCAGTTCGTTAAAGAGGCCTTTGATGGTGGTTTCAACCAGCTTGTTGAGTGAGCGTTTCTCTGGATCATACAGCTGCCTGCCCACACTCTGGCTTAGAGTGTAAAAACTTCCAGTAGTGATCCTAGGCTGAGCTTTTTAGAGGAGAACCTGTTCCAGTTGGATTAATTGCTAAACCTTCTTTTTCACTTCTTTTACAGACCCAGCCAAAGCTACACTCTGCTTCTGTGTTTTCTTCAGTGTGCCTTACCCTGCTGCTTTTTTCCCCTTTAGGATCAAATTTTTGGGAATAGACAAGGAGGGCAGGGACAGTCGTATGGTTTTGTGTAGTGTTCAGCTGATAGCAGGAGAGGGGAAAAGAAAACAAACAAGTTTTCATTGAGTAGATTGCACTATTTCCTATTTGGAAGAGGCCATGCCAGTAGGGTTATTGTATAATGGGAAAGGAGAGCACTTGAAACAGTTCCCCAGAGTTCTTGAGACAAAGCTGCATTCATGTTATCTGTTAAACACAGGATGTGTTT